AAAAGAAAGACAGAAATAAAAATCAGAATGAAATAATTAATTAGACATTTTAGGATGCATTGGTTAATGGAACACACTTGTACAGTAAAAAAAAAATGTTTTCTCTATTAACCCTTAAAGCAAAAATAAGATTCATATTAAACATCTTATTTTTATGCATTTTGTATTTTTTTATAAGTACTTTGTAATTATACTATTATAATCTCTTACTCCAAAAAGACTATAGGCTCTACAAGGGCAGAGAATGTGTTTTCTTTTTCTTTTCCATTCCTAACACATTTGTTAGCTTAAGTACTAAAGCTTTCTGAATACACACATTCGAATTTGCTTCAAGACAGCTTGCTTTAAAGGTTTATGTCCTCACAATTTGTAAATAAGATATGGATGAATAAGTCATTTATACAATACAGCTAATAAAATAATAAGATAAAAATCTACAAAACAGGCAAAAGCCCAGTCCTCTTGTTATATAAAATAAAACACCAAACTGCTAAAGTCCTTGAATAGGTTTTAAGAACTGATTTTTAATTTCAGTACCTCATTCTAACTAGCAAGAGATATAATAAACACTAAGATTACACATGTAACTATTATTTCATTTGGACCTTAAAAATTGTATTTCCTGAGACAAGAATATTGAAATGAAAACCAGGAAACTTTAATATATAAAAGCTTTTAAAAATGATGCTGGACTGGAAATAATCTACTACATTCAGTTCTGGCCCTCATAAGAAAGCATCAGTTCTGTTTGGGGCTATTTCCCATCTCTACATAGGAAAGAAAAGGGGCATAAATTCAACTTAAATTGCAGAAAGCAAGATTTATATTAGTTATAAGTATTTCCTCAAGGTGAGAGTCAGGTTGTAAAATCTCTGTCCCAGAAGATATTGAATAGTAAAGTGCCTAGGAATAGTCTAGTCCAGAGGCAAAGGGTTAGCTTAAAAGACATCTTGAAATATTATGGCTAAAATACCCTCGAAATATTGGCATTAAAAAAGTAGCCAAAATAAAACAGAAAATAGGATCTTACATATATATTAATATGTAAGATCACAGCATATCTGTTCACATCTTTAGTACTTGGTGCTGTTCTTATCAACCCTATTTTAATAAATAAATTGAAAAAGATTCGAAAGATAACAATTTACATGACCAAGGGAATTGAGATAGTACTTTCAAAGCTGGGGGAAGGGAGCCAGCAGGTGGCGAGGTGGTTAAAGCGTTGAACTCCCACATGGCCAACCACAGTCCAAGTCTGGGACCTGGCGGTTTGCTTTCTCACTTGCTTGCTCTCTCTCTCTCTCTCTCTCTCTCTCTCTTTCTTTCTGTCCCTCTCTGGTCAAATTGAAATCAATAAATAAAGTTGAATAAAATAATTCTTAAAAAAAATAAAACTGGGTGAAGGGAAGAAAAGGAAGTAATTTATTGTTAGAAGAGAGAGAAATTGGAAAACATATGACCAAATTTATAAAATATCGAAACTGACAACAAAGATGAACAGAAGTATGATTATACATTCAATCACATTCAATTAGAGTAAGCAACTACTTCAGGGACATTTAGGCCTCATCAGATAAATGAAAATAAAATGAGGCCCAAAATAGTTAAATACCTTAACAAAGTTTATGCAACTAATTAGGGACAAAGCCAGGATTAAAATCCACGGCTTCTGACTTCTTTTTTTAATTTAAAATAATAATGTTAATATGGAAATATTAGAATTATTTTAGTCATAAAAAGGCAAATCTCAAGCTAAAAAGGAACTTCAGTCTCTGATAAAGGTATAAGTTAAAGTTATATAAGCTTAAGAAATATTTAGAAAAATTATCAAATACTAGTTCTATCACAGCTCACTGGAAAGGTTGCTTGCAGTAGATGAAGTATTTTCAAAAAGTCATTGGAAAAAGTACTATGAAAAAATGTGCATAAATTGTTTTGCCCAAAAATAAATGCAAACTTTAATTCAATTTTTCCATGAATTTTCTGAAATACACCTAACTCTGAAGTTACTACTACAGACAGTAACCATGAATGCCCACCAAAATACTTCAGTGACTACTGAGATGTATAAACTTAGGTTTAACACAATAAGGTATCTCAAATAATAAGCCTTTCAGAATCAAAATTCCTGAATTCTAATTCTGGTTCTGTCACTGATCTCCTTTAAAAGACCTGTGTCAAAAATCTACATATGGAAAAAAATATCATAGACTGAGTATCCCTTATCTGAAATGCTTGCGCCAAAAGTGTTTCAGATTTTATATTATTTGCATTATGCATAATGAGATATTTTGGGGATGGGGCCTAAGTCTAAACATAAAATTCAGTCATGCTCATATGCATTTTATAACACAGAGAGCCAAAAGGTAATTGTATGTAACATTCTATATTACAACATTTCAACTGTGACTCATCATATGAAGTTAGGTGTGGAAATTTCTCCTTGTGATGTCATTTCTACACTTAAAAAGTTTTGAATTTTGGAGCTTTTCATATTTCATATTTTCAGATATGGATATTCAACCTTTATCAAACTAAGGTGTTTTTAAATGAGACTTATGTAAATTTACTATTCAAATTTAGAAAAGTCTTATGTGAAGGACTCAGAAATTAAAGCATTCTGTTTCAAGTATGAACAACTAAGAACTAAAATTACCACTGAGTTCATGTCCTCTTTCTTAAATGGGAGAATAACAAATATTAAAGAGAGCTATGTGACATATTAGCACTTAACTGGAATATTTTACCATAACCTGGAAAATGAAACCTATATACCAAAAACTAAAAGGCAGAAATTTATTCAAAAGATTTGTGAGTCTACCTATAATTTTGTTCTTCCCTAAAATTCTATACAAATAATACATTTTGAGGTATCTGTTTCTTTGTTTTATTTCTATTATTAGTCCCACTCCTTTTCATTTCCACTTTCTGTTTTACCCTCTGTCTTCATCTTTTACTTTCACATTTTCTTCCTTTAATCAAGACCTGAAAAGTCTCAGAGGGTTAATAACTAGAGAAAGATAATTAGTAACAGTGATTTTTAAATTTTCTTAGATCTATGATGAAAATAATTAATACCAAAAAAGATCTTGGCATGTAGAGGAAATAGCATAACAGAGAAAGGTAATCGTTTGGGAAAGCTAAGTCAGGAAAGACAAGAAAGAAGAGATGCTTATAACATGCTCATTCACACTGTTAAGGACATAAACAGGTTCTGGTTGATGAGTAAGATGAGTCCTCATATTATTAATACAGGACCTTCATATTTTGATGGAACTAAAGGTACAAAATCTTTTGGATTGGGTCAGCAGATGGCACAGTGGATATGTTTCTAGGCTCTTCATGTGGCCAGCCATGGTCTGAGTCCCAGACCCAGTAGTTTGAGAATCACAAGGGGCACACATGCATGCATGCCCAAGATCCTGGGCAGAGAATGGAGAAGGGACTGCAAAGTGGCCATTCCCCTTGGGGTGAGGGTGATTTCTCACTTCCTGTCACTGTTTCTGTCTCTCTCTCTGGTGAGTGTACATGCCCTAAGGCAAAAACCTCTAAAAAGCAAAACAAAACAAATAACCTTTGGATCTCCCCATTTTTTCCCTGCCAAGTATAAGTTAGCAACTCTTTAAAATAAAATAGCTTTTATATAATGTGTTCTGTATTATTCCTTTTGCTGTTTTTATTGTCCCAACAAATTTCTTAAGTTATTTTTCATATTACTATGTTTGAAGACCAGACCCACTGATGTGTAAAACCTAAGTAAATATTCCAAATACAACCTAAACATACTAATAAGATCAAAAGATGAGGTCATTTCACAGAATAATCATCAGAAATCTCTCTTGTGTTACAAAGGTAATGGATAGGAATCAGAATTGGGAGTAAATTATATCAAAAAAATTGTAACATAAAAATATTTATCTTGGGGACCAGCGGGTGGTGTGGTGGTTAAAGCGCTGGACACTCACACATGGCCGACCACGGTTCTAGTCCCAGACCTGATAGTTTGCTTTCCTAACTTTCCCTCTCTCTCTCTTTCTCTCTCTCTCTCTCTCTCTCTGTGTATGTGTGTGTGTGTGTCTCTCTGTGTCTGGTCAAAATAAAATAAATGAATGAATAAGTAAAATTAAATAATTCTTTAAAATATCTTTTCATTTTTAAAAATTTATTAATTTTTAAAATTTGCTATATGGTGAGAACATTCACTAAAGAAATTGAGAGAGACAGGGAAAGTGAGAAAGCGCCTCCTAGGGAGGATGGCCACACTCCACTTCCATCTGTCCCATTTTCCTGTTGGGATTTAGGGTATGCAGATGCATGCACCTGGAGTGTTTTTCAAACCACTGGGTCCTGGATCAAACACACAATCAGACACATGGAATCCAGCTCCCTTAATCACCATACCACCAACTGGCCCAAGACACAATCTTATATCTGTGGTAATTTGACTCATTTCTTTTATTATGAATTAACAAATTAAGAAATTACCGTCTTCTATATTACCCCAAAATTCCAAGGGGCTATAATCATTATTTTTAAATAGTGGAAAGTGTCAGGAACTCATCTTTTTTCATTTCCCTTCATCCTTTGACTAGAAATGAAGAGAATATATTTGCACGCAGCCTTAAAGTTGCACTCTAGAATCAAATAGCTAAACTTTGTCAGAAAATATTGCTGTTTTGGAAAATTTTAATTCATAGCCATGCCAACTTCCTGGTTAATTCTGCTTTTCTCAGCAATAAAGATTTTTTTTCCTTTCCCTGTTTTATTCCTCTTGGGATATTTGATCTTTTAAGAGAGAGCTTATAGGTGTCCCAGTGAGCTGACTTACCTGGTCAGCTAGGTCAGTTTTCAGCAAACACAGGATTTGTGAGTCTTTACTATTCTTACTGCCTGGGTATCTTTAGGTATTTTTCTCTATGAAGAGCTTGAAAACTGAAAATGACTGAGGATTTTAAATGAATGTTTAGGTCCAAGTA